CAGATCAACGCTCCCGCCCAACTTGGTGTCGTCTCCAAACTTACTGAGGGTGCACTCGATCCCCTCATCCAGATCATCGATATTGAACAAGACCGGCCCCAGTACTGAGCCCTGGGGAACACCGCTCGTGACCGGCCGCCAACTGGATGTAACTCCATTCACCACAACTCTCCGGGCCCGGCCGTCCAGCCAGTGTTTAACCCAGCGAAGCGTACGCCCCTCCAAGCCGTGAGCAGCCCGTTTCTCCGGGAGAACGCTGTGGGAAACGGTGTCATGAACGAATCAGTTGGATCCAAGAAGGTCGACAACATCCGCGGCCCTTCCCTCCTCCACTAAGCGGGTCACCTTGTCACAGAAGGAGATTTGCTTCTCCAAAGGCCGCAGCGAGCTCAGGAAGGAGCGCTCCGGGCCATCGGATCGCTGCCACGCCCGGCTGGAGCTTCTCCAGCACAGAGACACAGAGATCTCCACCCTGCGCCATTTTACGCAGCGGGGCTCTCACCCACCCACAGGACACGAAAGCCAGGGAGCAGAATCGAAAAACCCAGGGATTTAGCCCAGATTTAGCTCCGGCTTCGGGACAGCTGGCAGGGAGAGGGACGTTCGAAGGACTACGGCGACAGCTGGGAGGGAACTGTGCGAGGAGGTTTCTCCGGCCAAGCACACGCGGGGCTGTTCCCTGCGTGCCGGGGATCATTCCTCCGCGTTAGAAACAGGGAGCCGGGCGGGTTGCGGGCAGGCGGGAGCCGGCAACGCGAAACGATCGCTGGGCTCATCAAGCTCCGGGTATTTTTTATTAACAGCGAGAGGCGGAGGGAGGAAGGTAGACCGTCTGGCTGGATTTATAACTCTAAAAACAAACAAAAAAACCCCAACCCCAATTCCATGAAATTTAAGATATCAGCGTCAAGGAGCCCAAAGATGGGGGCCAAGGCCGAGCCCCGGCGGTCACCGCGGCGCCGGTACTCACATCAGGACGATGACCAAGAAGTTGGCGAAGGGCGGGATGGCAATAACTCCGATGGGAATGGCCTTGATC